ATAAACTATCCTTACTTAAATGAGAAAATAAAACTTAGAAAGAGTGGATTTTATATCCGGGGAAATCTCCGAAAACCAACATAAAAGAATAAAAAATAAAAGTTATGTTGAATAGCTAAAATTTGAGATGATAGCTCTAACAAAATATTTCCGCAATTAGGTGACTAATTTCCTTGATCACGTCATTCCCCTGCTCATCCAAACTCCGTACATAGTTCCGCAGTCCTCCAGGAAATTCTCAAAACTACAAATATTAAAGTCTCATCTTGGGCAGGGTGTGTGATTCGCTGGGTGCTCATCTCGTCCAGGTTCTGCATTGTTCCATTTCCACTATATATGACCAAGTCATTTGAAAGGGGGTTGAAATGGTAGTTAGGGGTGTGGGGGTTTGCCAACAAAATGGGAAGTCACGCACAGTGCAGGCAGTCGACGATTATGAGGACGCTCACGCTAGAATCTCGTTGGGGTTTATACAGAAAGTGTTCCGGAAGACCCATACGGCGCCTACCTTGGGTCTCTTGCATATGAGCATCGTTGAGCCAAAAAGGGGGATGAGGTTGGGACAAAAGGGGAGGCCAAAGAGAACGAGAGGCCCGACGGTTAATATCCCCAGATGCAGGGGCCATTCAAGGATACGCTCAACGACATTCTGCCCCCGAATAAAGGACCCACCGTCCATAATTGCCAGTGCATTTTGGATATTAATTTAGTAGTCTCCTTCATATCGAAAGTAATATCGACCCAACGCTAAGAAGACAACGCCCTGGCAAACCAAGGGGAAAGCCTAATAGAAGTCGAGTCGAGATGAGTTACTGCCTTTAATTCCCCGATAATAGGGGAACCTTCCGCGGGTCCGTCCTCTTGACTACGACACTACCCTCTATTCCCTCTATCCACTTTACTCGCTCCTTTTCATTCCAATTTTACTTCGGGAATTCTTTCTCGCAGCCCCGTGCACACCAGTTTACTCTCTCTCAATTCTTAAATTGCTCACAACAACGTCCTTATTTTTCAACTTAAATAACCAATATAAATTGACGGTAAAGATAATTTTCAGTTTACAGTGGATATTTTATTCAATTGCTGGTGGTAAGCCAACATGTCCATGTAGCGTGTTTTGAGGTGTTCATATCCACCGTTCGCAAACGTACTGCACTGTCGACCACCTTTTTTGCATTTCAGCATTTGCTAACAATTCGAATTATGGAGACTACTTTATATTGGCTCCACCGGAGTAACCCCAACGGCGTTAATCATCACGGTTGTAACAAGCCCACATAATTCCGCTCATTCGATCTTATCGAATTATCAGGCGAATTTTTCCGTAACCCACTGTAATATCGATTAAACCTAATCTAAAATACACCTCTGCATATGAATAAATTAGCAGAATGAGTGTCATTCATATACACTGGTAATACAACATACTTGGCTATATGGTCACGCTCAATTTATTATGTAACGTAATTTATCATGCTTAAACTTTTGAACGACAAAGTTTATGACGCATTTCTCGAGAACACGTAGTCGCTGGGCATAAACATATAGAGTTGGTGCAGCGAACGGTGACAGTTGGGTTTGTGGGCAAGCACCACAAAGATCAGTAAATCCCAAACGTTTTAAAGTCGATAGGTGGGGGATGATAGGTGACACAGAGCAAATATAACAATGTACGCTAGTGGTGTCCAGTTGGTATGCTAATCGGACATAATACTGATGAATTTACGATACAGCCGCAACTCCTTGGCCCTGAGAAAGCCCCTTCCACCCAACGTCATTCGACTTAACGCCGCGTTAAAAAAAAAATCTTTTTCACCATTGCGTGAATACTCGAGGGGGAGAGTCCCAAAGACATCAAAGTTGCAATGATAATAAAAGAATTGCTCAATGATGTTGCTTTATTTCATTCACATTTTTTCTCTCATTTTCTTTATTCCACTCGTGGTTGGGGCGACTCATTGTCTATCAACCGTGTCATTGCGATTTTGCGGCTCGAGACCCGGTTCATGATGCCTGGTTGAGGTGCAGATGAAGGCCACACTGTACGTCACTGCATTGGATATCCTATCAAAGAGTGGAATGACGAGACTGGTATAAGTGGTCGAGGCGAAGCTCAACCATTCTGTCCTTACAATTTCAAATTTTCCGTGTGTTATCAGGCGATTCGTTACAGTCAAGCCTTAAGGGCCCCCACACTTATCTCCATCTTATCGTGTACTGCATAGATCGAATGAACAACAAACGTATACCACTGGGTGGGGGTGGGGTGTCAGGGGATAAGGTAAAACGGAAGAATTCACCGCCGGTTATTTCCACTTCTTATCAAAACTGCGGACAATTTCCCGGTAAAGTAAGTAGAGAAACGACAGTAAGGGAATGCGAGAGGCGACCCGTTCAAACTGTCGCTATTCCTTTTATACATCTCCGGACGATTTCCTGCGGAGGTGATCGTGACGGAAACAGTTACCGGGAATGACGCTTATCGGTATTTTCTTTCCTGCCGGCGACTCATTCCCTCTCTTGGTAATTTCTGCTTTACTTTTTCTTATTATTATTTCTCATCGTTTTCTATCTGCTATTTTTTCTCCTGCATCGATCAGCACCATCTATTTACACGGTTAGAAGAGCAAATTTAAAAAAATAAACAGAGAAATAATAGTCGAGGGGCCGCTGTACCGAATCTAGCGTGGCGAATCTGCGTGTGATAGAAAAAAAAAAGGAGTGGCATAAAAAATGGAAGAGTACAAGGAGGGCGAGAATAGAGACATGTTGGAGGTTGTCAGAATCTCTTAATCGGGGGATCGTAGTATAAAGTTGACAGATGTTGTTTTTCCTTGGTACAGGGCCCACCGGTGCTGTAGCATTGAGACGCGATTCTCCACGCATATGCGCCGCGTGGGTGACGATGACTTGGCACACATGTCGTATCATAACGTCTCTGGTCTCACTATTTCAATCAATTATAACATATTTTCTTGCTACGTCTGTAATATTCAACCCCCCGGGTGATTACACGCCCGCGATATCCAAGAATAATCGGAAATGGATAACACAAGAGAGGTGATGTGATAAATTTATTACGGTGCTAATAGTGGAAACATTACACATAGCGATTCGCATAATTTGTTTGAGGTATCTCTCTTGGATATATTTCCGGTGTAAAATAATTTTGCAGTTTCAAATTCCAGATTTCAGTCGATTTTAGGTAGACAGAAAATAGGTACACGGAGAAATATTCAAGAATAATTACGGAACATTTCGCGTAATCTGCGAGGAATCATCACATAAATTCTATGATCTGTTCCGTAAAAATTACGCATTCGCCCGACGCCTCACGGCTAGCCATGAGTCACCGTGAGGGGGGTATTTTTACGGAACGTTTCATAATTTTTCCGGAGCATTCCGTAAAAATTCTTGAATATCCAGGAATTTTTATGTTCTGAGACAGAACCCGAAAATTTACTAAAAGTTCTAGATTTATTCCCCGAAAACGATTCTCGCTGACGGATTACGTGAAATGTTCCATCATTTTTCTGGAGGATTTCTCTCCGTGTAGGCGAATCGGCAGCTAGAAAATTTCAAAGATGACGAAAAATGGTGAGAAGAGAAGAATAAAGTGAAGAGGACAGCTCAGATCGACGAGTGTATACAATTGATAAAACCTCTGTCGATTTACAGTAGCGGATACAACTGGAAGAGACGAGAGTTCGAGGGAGGGGATTAGATTAGGGGAATAGTATTGGGATATCTGTAAAGAGGCCTCGCTGATTTTGGATTGGCGATGGAGCTTCTGGCAACGATGATATGGCCCGTGTACCGCACCGCAGTAAGCGCATACCCATGGACGAAAAGGATCCGATGGATCGTCAAAGTGCTGGAAGTGGATAAAGGAATAACATGGCGATGCCGTGCATACGTGTGGATCAAAGGAGGAGGAGATTATCGGTGCATTGCGGGATCCAGAGGAAGAGGGAATAACGAGTGGTGGAGGATGAGGGACCCATATCCCGGTGGGAAGAGGGGGTCGGCGTTCACCGCACGTCTTACCTTGTAATTTACTCACCGCGAGCCGCGGGCTATCCATCCCCTGGCATAACTCAGTGATGTGTCCATCGGTTTACGTTGTAAAATATTGTCACTTGTGTTATTATCATTCTCTCCAAGAATTTTCATTATTTTTTATTTCAATTTGTCCACCGTATTTCTTTTTTTTTTCTCAGACTCTCTTCTAATTGCGCCAACTAATTTCGAAAAAATTCACGGAAAAAATACGGACCAATTGAAGATTTGCGGAGATTAAGTGTCTCGTGTTTCAACGGCGATTAGAGTTTTTTTTTTTTATAGAATCTATTTTCTATAGAATTCTCTAACTTTTCCAGGGAAATGAGTGCCTTGCGGTTTATTTAGGAGAGTAAAAATGTGGGAGTGAGAAAATTATTACCGAGAGGAATATAGTCAGGGATCTTCAGGACGTTGATACATACCTGGTGGATTGGAGAGGCAAGGCTTCAATACCACACTGCATACGTTTAGCTAAATTATACTTTATACATACCATTATTATTTCATGGATCCCTCTGATCCCTCTCGCTTCTGACGCCTCTTTCCCGCCCTCTCTCGTTCGTCCTCCCTTTTCTACCACCACTTGTTCCACAACCCGTTGATGCTCCGCCCTTCTCACACTCGTTTCACTTGTGATCCAAACGAAATAATCCAAAAATGTCGATTTGATGGACGGCTGAGCAGCGAATAAACCACGCGCCACAATCAGCCACTGGGTTACTCCACTAAATTGAAATATTACGAATAAAAATTGAATCAATTCCCTTCAATCACGTGAACCAATAAAAAGGATTTTTTCTTCAAGATTTTTCATTCAATTTCTGAATATTCAAGCCTCGACGCTCGATGGACATTTATTTAACGCGTAATTAGCAGGTTCAATTAAATTTCCGCCAACTCATCGTCAATTAAATCGTGACGATCCGTTTACATTGCAGGCGTGGATGGATGAGAAAAGAAACAGATCAAGTGGAGAGAACAAGACAATGTCCAGTCAATATCTCAGGTAACTGAACAATTAAATTTGACACGTCGTTTGTCTCAGCCGCACAGCTCGTCTGGCCCCACGTGGGCCCATACTGTCGCTACCCGCTGCGATATTTACTAATTCACCAACAAATTTAAATATTTTACTGAAGATATCCAATAGACATTAACCACAAATTCATTTAACCTTACCCCCAACCCAGGTTCTCCTTCTGCCACGTTGCACTGTGAATACAATAAAATTCTGTGGTTATCGGCCGAACGAAACTCAGGGTGGGTCCAGCAAAAAATTTCTCAAAACTTTTTTTAACCACCTTTTTTTTTATCATCTCACAGTCAGCAAAAAATCTTCCCATTGGCACTGCAGGAACTCTCGTAATAGAAAAAGCGAGATAAAGGTCATTTGAATTTTAAACAACAGCGATTTTTATTGAATGAAATGGGCCCCCAGTGTTTTCCGAAAATTGCTAATTAAAATGCATGAATAGCCAACACTGGACTGTCCTCTCTCGACCCCCGTGGTTTTAGTAAAAAATAAAAGAAAGATTATGACGATGAATGAATGCTCATCAACACATGGAACGTCGGAATTCATTCCGTGGTAATGAGGTTCGTTTATCAATAATAAGTGACATGCGAAGAATCCTTCATGAAATGAAGAAGTGGAAAACCAATATAATTTTTATCCAAATATATATACCCTCCCTCACATACCTATCCAAACCTAAAATTGCATCCAGAATCAAGCCAAGCGCACATTAAATTTTTCCGTCAACAGTATAAATAGAATGTCACTCAATTCACCAGCTATTATTCAATTCTATTACGCCCATTATATTCCCTTCAATTCTATCGAATTCCCCAAAGCTTTGCAGACTAAAAACCCCAATAACCTACGACTACAGAACAAATGAAATCAACGCAAAGAGCTTAGTCAGGTAAAACAATCAAAATCACCAATTGATTAATTGAAATTAATACCATTGAAGTGAATAATCAAACGTATTTCCAATTTACCGGCAAATGCCTCTTCAAAACGCGAAAATTAACTCCCTCTCAACTGAATGAGCACACTGTCCATTGCAGGTACTCAAGTAGGGGTTGAAGCTTGGGCCAACCAACGGCCGACGCTTGGCATGCCAATCACCAAGCTTGGCGCAACGTTTGGCTGACAGATTAGCTCATGACTGGGCTGTAGCCTGGATGATAACTCGGGCCCAGTTAAGGGACGCTAGAATGACCCAACGTATGCAGCCGTTCCTGACCCATAACAGGCCCAAAATTTTTTACCAAGACTGGTTCAATTGTAATTTCGAAGCTTGGGACCGAATGACTAACCGGTCCTTTAATTTATCTACCAATTATTGATTGAAATGATAAAAAAAATAAAATTAATTGATTTTTTATCACTGATATCATTCACATTTAACTCTATTTATCAATCCCTGATTAATTAATCGCTGAAAAAATTGGGAACTATTTTAATTAATGATTTCTTCTTATGATTTACTTTATCAATTGACATAAATTCCCAAGTCCTGATCCTATAAATCAATACCTGCACCTGCTCATATGATATTTCTTATAAATATTTGTGAATACATCGACTTCACATCAGCTCATCCGCGCGAGTTATTATGGTTGCCAAGAGATCATTGCACTTGTCATTAATATTGCAGTAGGTCAATCGAATTATCTACTCATTAATATCCCAAGAGGATCAGAAATGCATCTCCCGATTCGCCGTCACCGCCAGAGATCTCTCAACCTGTCAGAAATTCCGACCACTCAATTAACATTTTTTATTTCTATCGGGTAATTAACATTAAATGAGACTGAAAGTAGGCATTTCACCGGAATTACGAATATTTCCAGAAATACAAAATTTTCACCTCAAAACGTGGTATTATGATAATTTATGCGTTTCCCAGTGGTTAGTAAATATGTTGTAGGGTAAATGGTAACATTTCGAGTGGAGCTCAAGTATTTTCCCACTACCAAATCATTCAATGGTTGGCGAGCATTTTCATATTCGACAACTCGTTGAATTATTCGGCTTTGCATTAATATTCCACTATTAATTACAATGTTTTATGTATAACATTGTAGTTAAATTGCAACAGACGGAGGCCACTCGAAAATTCTGCCGGATGGGGAATTAATCATATTTGATTGGTGAGGGTTATTCATTATCCTCGGGGATCAAAAATATAAAAAGCTGATAAATGGAGAAAAAATAAAAATTGGATAATGGTGGGAACGAGGTAATTTTGGAAATTAGTTGATAATACCGAAATTCCGCTGTTTGATGCTATCCTTAGGATGCATCGGGTTTAACATCGATTATAATTATTTCGTCATTACTACCAGTCACACTAACCAGTGGCAAGTTCACTTCAAGGATTGTAATTAGCCGCAGTGGGATCACCAGCTCGTTGGAGCGCGAAACATTTCGCGTGTTGCACAATCACGTTTTAATGTGCGCGCGATTAAGCCACGTAATTCGGCTTACCCCTCTCCTTTCCTCTCCACCTCACCCCCTGAGTACGTTAATCATGGTAAAGTCAACTGGCATGTATGCAGTACTTGAGGCAGAGTAACACGGATTTTCCACCCATGATTAATTGATTCTAGAATGTCCTCCGGTGTTTTAAAATACCCGGGTTTTTTTTACTCCCCTCTGAATTTACATTTCCTGCACGTGAGGGAGAAAAGTTTAAATAATGAAAAAAAAAGAGCTCTAATTGTGCGGTCTGCAGTCAGTGACCCAGCTGAGAGTCGTTGACAACAAGAGGAGTAAAAAAAAAAAATAGAGGGAGAGTAAATGACAGAATCGAGGAAAGATACGCCCTGGATTCAGTCCTCGACGTTTTCGTCCCAAATTGTTCGTACCAAAGATTTAATTGAGGCAATTAACTTGGGTGGGGGATACACAGACGGAGGAACTGGCGACTGACGTGGTGAAGAGGGATAAACGTCGGTGAAATTGTATTGGTTATACCGACGAGTGGAAACAAGAACTGGGGGATACCAGAAAAAAAACATGGGGATGGGGAGAGTTTTTTTCGAGAGCATCGCTGTGCTCTAGGACTCTTGAAGAGTGTAAAAAATTGAGAGGATCTTCAAATGCGTCATGCCGAAGGGAGACTGGTCAAGGGGTGTAAAACGTGCGTCGCATGATGACCCTCGAAGGATTATTCGAAAATCTTATTTCGTATGTCAAATATGGGGTATCAACGCCCTTCATTTAATGTGACAATTGGGAATGAGGGATGTATGGTGGAGGTGTTTCCTTTTTTAAATTTAAAGTCACATGATTAGATCCTTTTGTTTTTCTTTCTGATTGATATTATAATTACGATACTGATTGAAGATCCATGGGGCACATGACTTTTCAGAATCTATGGAGATATCCAGCGTATTCCACCCGCTGGAAAAATACGATGCAATAAATATCCTGGTTGCCATGAGCAGCCTAAAAACATTTCGGTGAATTTTTTACGATACTAAAGATGTAGAAGTATATAAAGATTGTAAAAGTGTCAGCTGTACGATTTTTCAGGCGATTGTTTGATATAGATAAGGTGCATTTGATCAGTGTTTCTCGGGGGTAATAAAATTGTTTGAACTCATGAAAACGTCACAGTGAAAAACCCAAGAAATTTTTCACCCGCTTCTTTTAGTTCGTTCATTTACCATTACTACCCTCCTCTCCAGTCCACACACAGGCTCTTCTCCTCGGTGAAGCTGATGAAGCTCCGTGAAGCTGCATTTATCTAAATCTCAATAATCAAAAATGGAGGGGCACTTGAATATATTCTGCAGAAAAATTCCAAGGCCAGTACTGGAAAACTCCCAAGACTTCTAGTCACATTGAAAAAAAAATCAGAATTTAGATGTTATGGGGAATTGTTAGAGAATTAACAGACAGGTTATAGAGATTATTACTGAATTTTCATAAATGTTGATGTGTAAATTTCACATGAGTAAAATTCACTTGTTATCCCATAGAATTTGGGCTGGAATTTTTCCGTATAGCTGAGAGTTTTGGTGAACATTTTCCCGAGTTGATACTAGAATTTTTCTCAAGAATGTCTCATGGTGTAGGGAATAGGCAGCACAGAGGGTGGATTTTGGTGATATGGAAGTTGGTTGACGATAAATTGGCTTTTATACTGCGTGAACTCGATAGCTGTTGAACACTGCGTCCCAAACAGTTGCGTCTGGTGTGCACTCAGAGCTTATATATACCAGGAAAAGTAGGGTTGTACGTTCAGTTGGGTTATATACACAGTGAAATATGATTGGTACGTTGATATAAACCGACGAGTTGTACTTTACTGCACACTAAACTCCCAAGACGAAAGGCGCCCATGAAAATATAACATTTAAAGGGATTTTTATCACTGATTTCACTTGGTTGTACCCTCGTTTACTGATAAGTTATATCCCAGAGTTTATGTCCAATACTAATCACTTTAGACTCCCCCACGTCGTACTCGGTTTGAGTTAGGTGCTTGTCTCCCGACTATCCGTTATGAATAATATCCACGCGGGATACCTGAGTATTTGATGGTTCCTTTATGGGTAACAAATTCTACATTCGATGATAAATGAACTGTCAACGACAAACATTCTGCTCCTGTCATTTCAACTATCCGAGATAAAACAATATCCGCTCAATTCAACAATGTTCCAATAATCACGAGCACAACTCTTTGATCTTCATAAAATGTCTTTCGTAAAACAGACCGTATAAGAAAGGATGACAGAATTTTCTTGATGGATCCAGAAGACTTCATCTTCATGTTAGATTATCAATTCTCTACTTTAGAGCAAGAATACATTTTCGTCACTGGGCCCGAAAACCGCGATTTAACCGAACGGAGTGAAAAATTTTGTATGTTATGCGATGATAAGAATATTATCTTTCGCATGTGATATAAACGCACATTCGTCAGATAATATTTTTTTCGTCTGATGGCATAATGTATTATTTCCAGACATATGATGATAGTTTTTGAATAACTGCCTGTTGGAATGATGAAATATTTTCATTCCGTGGATAAAAATAATTGCTCGGATAATTCAAGAATAAAAATCGTGACTATAAAATGTGAAAAATATCTTAACCAAATGGAGGAGAAAGATTGCCGATAAAATTGAAAGTTACGAACTAATATTCATGGCTGTTTCATCCATACCAGAATCTTACGCGATACTGCATAATATGAAAAAGAAAAGAGCTATAAAAACCAGAGGAAACTGTAAGTTACGGTAAGAAGCGTTGACGGGGTTGAAAGTTTTAAAAATTCATGCGATCCTCGAGCCAGTGGCACACTTTATGGATTTTACATTCCTCTATTTTTTCCAGTACAACCGTGCAGCAATGTAATGCGGACGACCAAGGCAGTGTTACACAGCCACATCTTCCGATGTTCTCCATAAAATAAGAAATACCGAAGTTCAAGTTTGAATTAAGCTGCGCAGTGTCGGTGTAATCGTATCTCCACTAAAATGCCTCAATGACTTTTTCGTGTTGACGTGCACTGAGAAAAACAATTACTTTTGCGCGCCATATTTGCTAGTCAATGAAAAAGAAGTGGTGCAGTAATGGTAGAAGTACTGGAGAGCGATAGAACATTGATATAATGTTCTCCCGTTGTGGTGGAAAAGTTTACCGATCGCGGGTCGCAGAGTTTTAGGAGCTAATCCGATGTTGAATGACACTTTTGAAAATCTGTTACTACCAGCTTTTGGATTATTACAGGGTCACGAGACGCCGCCATTGATTTACATGGAAGAATCCGCTGCACTCGTAATCGTATAGGTAATGTAATTTAGTGCAACGGGAGTCATATAAATTTTAATCCCACGAAGGAAAAATTCCCATTATTTCAATTATTTCTCAAGTTAATCTACCCCATTCTCATTTTTCCGTTATTAATGATGCTGATTAAAAAATGGATATTTTTAATTTCTAATTTTCATTGATGATTGTATTGTTATAGTAGATTCAAAGTTGATCACTTAATGTTTAATAAATGTTCTCTCATAAGAACAGTTTTTGATTCGTCGATTTAATTACGTCGGATTATTTCTGATCCGATCTTTTAAATCTCCGCGCTACTATAATTATTCGAATAATTTTCCTTACGTAAAAGTCAGAAAAGTGAATGGATGGTGCGTGGCATTTCTCTTTTAATCTGAATTCCTATAAAAAATGGCCGTGACATAATGTAGAAGAGTAGTTTTTTGTTCTCAGCCGACGGTGATTGTTCCAGCTCCAAAAGACGAGTAAAAATGACCCCAAGGAGACCTGAAATATGTTGAGCATACACAAAAATTCACCCGCTGTTACACCGGA